CGGGTGTACGCAGGGCTGCGGGTGGGTGGTGGCGCAGGTGAGCGAGTCCGTAAAGAAGACCTGGATTCTTCTAGGAAAAGAGGACGACGACGGAGCGACTGAAGTAAAATGATGGGCACTGCTGCGCAGGAGAAAGAAGGAGCGCTGATTGATGAGAGAAGCATAAAGTCAAAAGCAATCATTAGTCGATAGAACTCTAAGCAGTAGTGAAGTAGATGAAAGTCAGGTGGAAAAATGTAGTATTTTAAAATCGTTGTTTTATAACGGCATACTAGACGCACAGAGGGAAGATTGAACAGTATTATTATACCTTTCTTCCATCCTCTTAAGGATGAAAATCTTGACAGAAGAGGTGTAGGGACATATTATATCGATTCGAAGAAGTTAAAACTCCAAGAAGTAATTGTAATACAACGTTAATTTTAATATTTTAACTAGTCATTATTTAGAAAAAAAATGAAAATTAGATGGGGAAATAATTAGGACGAGATTAAAAATAAGTATTACCTGAAAATGTTTCAACGGAAAGAGAAAGTGAACAACCAAATAGTGAAAAGAGGACAAATGCTATGTACGTCATTCCCTTATTATCCATTATCATTCTCGTATCTCTTTTCATATCACCTTCGTTGTTGTCCTGGGGAGGCACGCTTATGTACTGGTGCCGGGCGGAACGGCGGGGCGCGTGGCGGCAAGAGAAAGGAGTCTGGTCTCGCCCGGGAGGGAACAGGCGGCTGGCTGGCTGGCGCCCGTGATGGATGCCCTCACCGCGGAGCGCGAAGCCGCCTGCCGCCCGGGGAGAAAGCGCGCACCGCCCACGCTAACGCTTGCACCACGCCTCGCCTGGTCACAATACGCCACGCCACCAGGGCCACGCCATCAGGGCTACGTCATCAGGGCCATGCCACCAGGGTCACGCCACCAGGGTCACGCCTCTTGGGCCACGCCACTAGGGCCACGCCCCTAGGGCCACGCCCCTAGGGCCACGCCCCTAGGGCCACGCCCCTAGGGCCACGCCCCTAGGGCAACGCCCCTAGGGCAACGCCCCTAGGGTCGCGCCACTAGGGTCGCGCCACTAGGGCCACGTCACTAGGGCCACGTCACTAGGGCCACGTCACTAGGGCCACGTCACTAGGGCCACGCCACTAGGGCCACGCCACATCGCCAAAAGCAGGCTATCAAGCTTCATGCCACGCCGACAGCTCTACGCCGCATCTCATTACGATGCACTACACCTCGCCATCAGCTCCAATGCAGGATTTCAAACTTCACGTGTTGCCGACAGCTCCACGTCGCATCACACACGCTGTGCCACGCCTTGCCATCAGATCCATACGAGGCTTTAAAGCTTGACGCCTCGCCGTCAGCCCCAAGCCACATCGTACCAGGCCACTCCAAGCCGGCGCCAGGCATCGCCATTAGTTCCAACCCACGTAACCAGCATTTCGCCACGCCATCAGCTCCACGGCCTTCCCAAAACCTCATGCCACGCCGTCAGCTCCAAACGACATAGCACCAGGCCCCTCCACGCCTCGCCATTAGCCACATGACACATCACTAGCTCCACGCCTAGCTCTCATGTACTGGACAGGTCACCAGCCCCACGCTCCGCCTTACAACGTCACCAGCCCTATGCCACCAGCGCCACGCCACAGCGCCCCACGCTGCGCCGCGCCTCACCAACAGCTCCGAGACAGATCTCAAGCTTCTCTCCACGCCATCGACTCCAAGCCACATCGCATCACGCCACTCGACGCCAGCGCCATGCTTCGCCATTAGCCCCATGACACATCACTAGCAATAGCTTCCAGCTACTAGCTTCGCGCCACGTAACTAGCATTTCGCCACACCTTGCCATGCCACGCCACGTCGCACCGTTCCAGGCCACGACACCAGCGACAAAGCCTGATTATCAGGTACTCGCCATGCCTCGCCACGCGACCGGTTCCACGTCTTCCTCCTACCAGAGCCACGCGACACGACGCCACTAGCTCTTCGCTACGCAACCAACATCACGACACGTCGCGGCACGCCACGCCACGCCACGCCACGCCACGCCACGCCACGCGGCGTACAGCTTCGCCACTCTACAGTCTTATCCGCAATGCGGCTCGCTACGCTGCCAGCTCCACGCAGCAGTCCACGTGCCAGTCCATGCCTCGAGCGCCATTCCACACCATCAGTTCAACACCACTGAACTTCTCGTTGTTTGCGGTTATTTAATTACATTTCATTCACCGCAATACGTCATTTACACTTTGAGCATATATTTTGTTCCATGCCTCGCCGAAACCTCAACTCAATGCCACCAGCGACACGCATTTCCCAGGAACGTAAAGCTACACCACTCTATTCGCTTAGCGACAGGCCGCACTCGTACCACCAATTCAAGGACAGAAAACTAATTGGGTAACATGCCACAATTTTTAGGCAAGGCGTTTCGGAAATAATAAACTAATTAGAAATCAAAAAAACTTGAATTTAGTTGAATGACATTTTAAGAATCCAAAATATTTGGACATCAAGAAAAGATTTTTAAGTGGCGTTTCTTGCATAGTTTCATTCTCGGCATAGTTTTAAACCAGAGCTGGGAAGCAAATTCTCGATCCTGGCTTTCATAGGCCTTCTAAGAAAAACGATATTTTTGTTGCATACTAGATTGCTTTTCGTAGTTTCTCTTCCCCGAAAACTGTGGAAACTAGTCCATTGCAGCACTGAAATTATTTTTCGTTGTGAAATTGGAAGGATCGCCATGGAGAACTGATAAGGAGGTCGGTCGGGGAGGTAGAGAGGGGAAGGTCGGAGACAGTCAGCGTCATGTTTGTTCTATCCTGCCATTAAAATACTCTAACCCGTTATGATCTGGTAAGAATTACTCCTTGACATTGCTAATTTGTCATATTTAACATTCCTTTTACATTCCGTTTTATTCAGAATAAATTCTATTTTGCAGACCTATTTTAGTAATAAGTTATTTTGTGCAGACTAAATGCCAGAACTTTTGCTCCCTGGGGGTAAATCAGTGTTAATTTGACATTTTCTTGATGTGTTGTTGATTTTAACTGAATTCTTTGTTGGCTGTGAAACTAGTTATCACGTTAAGTGGATATTCTCTTTAATTTTGAATATTTTCTGCCAACATTCAAGATCAAACGTGTTTAGTGAATACAATGAATGCGCGAGTTTCTGAAAAGTATGATGGTAAATTGTCTTGTGTTTTTTGTTTTGTTGTTTGAAAACACCATATAAAATTAATCAATAGCAATTCACATCAAATGTGGTTAGTTTGGATATGTGTAAAATCTATTTCCTGAAACCATCTCATGCCGCTCAACAATTCATAGTCTACGTTCTATACTACGTCAATATGTTCGGATATAGTATACCGGTTAGGGTATCAGACTGTTGTACCCGAGGTTGCTGGTTTATCCTCGATCGAAACCATGGATTTTTAATGACGAAAAAATACTTCGTTGGTTTACTGTATTTTACGGACAGGAAATAAAGCCGGATGCCCCGTGTTGTAGAATTTACTGCATATAAAATATCCTCAAGCTTAAAAGAAGCCTCACAGATAAATTCAAAGTCAGATGGAAGAGCGGGCCTAATGGCCCGAGTCTCGCCACGTAAGATAAGGCACTAACTGATTGTAAAATACCTCATCAAATATGTGCAACCAATTGAGATTACTTGAACGAGTATATGTGATTCAACCATTATTTTACTAATAACTCTGCGCGATAGCAAAAACGTTATTCATCGGTCTGTAATGTATATTCATATGATTGGGTTCAATTCATGGTTGCCGTCCAGTGGAGTGACTGATGTTCTGTACAATTTATTTATTTGAGGAAACATATTTCTTAAATATTAATTTTTGTTTGGAAGAGAAAAAACACCTTAAAAGTTGTAAACAGTGCCGTAACTTCCTGATCCAATACCAATTTTTTTAATCACTAATTTCACGATCGTCCGTAAAATGTCCAAAAAACGCCGTTGTTTGCCTGCACCAAAAAAATGTTAAGGTAGCAGAACACAGATTACCGGCGCATGCCATTATATAGACATTAAGAATCCGTCTTTCCATGCCGAGAAAGGGCGGTGCAAATGAATTTCTGATTATCAACGGGCAGCGTGTAAAGCCATTAGGAGGAAATCTGTTCTCCGCGGGTCAAGACCACACCTGTGGACGCGACGAAACACGGACCGTCTGCCCCAGAAGCAGTCCCCGACGTCTTCGCGGGCTTATGATGACGTAAAGAGCGCACGGAGAGGAGACTAATTACTCGGCGCGTGCGTTCGGGGGGTGGAGGAGGGTGTTGCTCGCAGGCAACGCGCCCTAATGGGCGGCGTAGGGTCCTTCACCTCGCCCTGCACCCGGAATGATGGATGAGCGCCAGCGCGAGCGCTTTGTAATTGAATGGTGGCGAGGAGATCCCACACGCGCGCGCGATCTTGGCCTTAATCGCCCGCGGGCGCCGCGTCGCCCACGCGGTCTCTCGCCCGGGCGCCCAGCCACGCGGAGGGCAATGTGGGGGCGGAGGCGGGTCCTTGTGGCGAAGGAAGAGGTGACGGCGGAAGCGGTGGCTTTTTTGATTGGTTAGCGATTCCGGGCGGGACAATGTCTGAGGTGCATTATTCCCGTAAGAGTTGTGCATGTTTGTGTTCGGGAGATCGGTGGTCTACTCCCACCGGATGATGAGATCCGGCGCCAACGTACCATCTGCTAGCGGGATATTTCCCCAAACAGGTATCTTTCACCAGCAGCGGGGCGACGCCCCAGTCGGGACAAAGCTTTAAGCTCCCGACCGGTCTCCCGGCATGGGTAGTGCATGTAAGAGTGTGTGTGTGTGGGTTGGTGGTGGGTAGGCGGGGTGAGGATAGGCCACGGATGAGGAAGGACAGATCGCGCACAGACCGTGGCCCATTTGTTAGGATGCTGCTCCGTTATTGGCCAGGTATTAGTCGAAGAAACAGCGGATAACTATCGATCAGAGCAACCCGCCGGATTGTTAGAATTCTTTTTCTAAACTTCGACTGACCAAACCATCCGGGTAATTCGAAGGACCGAAAATTCCTGCCACCTCGGGGGCTACAAGGCATTCGCGATTC